CTCCTTCCCCCAGTAAGCATGGTGGGGGGATTCAGTCCATTGTAGTTTAGTGATTGGATCAGGTAAATGCTGTGTCTTTGAGGCTCAGCTCATGTAGTTAATATGTTGGGTAAAGTTCCTTTGTCCTAAAACATTTAATGGTTTGCTCTGATTATCTTGTGGAACTGTAATAATACATTTACCTGACATAATAAATTGTTATATTTGGCTATTCTAACAGACTTTGACTTATTTTCATTAGAGTTAAAAGGAATAGTCGAACATTAACGTATTAAATGATGCACAGATATCATTGATAAACCTATTCATTTTATGGAGTCAGATGAAACGAGTTAATTGATAGGATTAAATGTGTTGCATTTAATTAAAATTCACTTTGCTTGGAAAAGATGGAACACGCTTGAAACCTTCACCACGAATCAAACCCCGCCATTTGGATCGATTTCGTGGCCCTTTTTACAGTATATATATTTTTTTGTATTACAAATTTCTTTGAAGATTAATTTTAATATGCAAATGAGCTATACACTAATCGAATACACCCAAATAGGCTTCGTTTTTTTCCTTTACTCCTACCACAATAAAACTTTACACAATGAAAGTCTACATGAAAAGTAAAACATTTTGCATTAGAAGTTTCTTTGACAATGAATTTGAATATGCAAATGAGCAATATACTAATAGAATATGCCTAAAATACACCCTAATGGGCTTATTTTTTTCCTTTAGGCCTACTCCTATCACAATCAAACCTCACACAGTGAAAGTATACATGAAAAGTAACATTTTTGTTCTACAAGTTAGTATCTTGTAAAACAAAAATGTATGTTTGTATAGTTAATGTATGTATAGTTAGTTCTCATTCTCATCCCAAGACATCATCTAACTGACCATATGTCAACATCCGATGTTTTAGGGTACCCTTTAACGTCAGTTAGATGATCCTAGGGTGTCATCCAACTGACGCTTTACCTTTAGGGTAGGGTAGGGTTAGATAGCGTCATCTAACTGACGTTAAAGGGTGCCCTAAAACGTCGGATGTTGGCGTATGGTCAAAAGTGTCAGTTAGATGAAATCTTGGGATGAGAATGTGTTGATTTAACAGTGACAAATTACAAGACATTGTAACAGTATTAGTTAAAAGCTATGTCTCAACTGTATGCAGTGATCACATTTGGCCCTGAACATTCAATATGAAATAATTCATTACATTTATATAGCGCTTTTCTCGGCACTCTACGGCGCTTTACATAGAGAAGAGGAATCTCCTCAACCACCACCAGTGTGCAGCATCCAGCTGGATGATGCGACGGCAGCCATAGTGCGCCAGAACGCTCACCACACACCAGCTTACTGGTGGAGAGGAGACAGTGATGAAGCCAATTGGTATAGATGGGGATGATTAGGAGGCCATGATGGACAGAGGCCACTGGGCAAATTTGGCCAGGATGCCGGGGTTACACCCCTACTCTTTCGAAAGACAACCTGGGATTTTTAATGACCACTGAGAGTCAGGGCCTCGGTTTAACGTCTCATCCGAAGGACGGTGCTCTTTGACAGTATAGTATCCCCATTACTATACTGGGGCATTAGGACCCACACAGACCACAGGGTGAGCACCCCCTGCTGGCCTCACTAACACCTCTTCCAGCAGCAACCTGGTTTTCTCAGAAGGTCTCCCATCCAGGTACTAACCAGGCTCAGCCCTGCTTAGCTTCAGTGGGCAACCAGTCAGGCTACAGGGTGATATGGCTGTTGGCGTAAACACAGGCAAACGGGAAAGGTTTATAATAAGACTAATACATATTATTGAGTAGAATATCTAAAAACAAGCAAAACGTATAGTAACTTTACAATAAACTTAGGACTTCAATGAGAACACAATAGACTTTTAGACTAAGCAAAAGATCCACTGTGGACAGTGTTACACGGTTGACGCTGTCACATCTGCCAGCTGGAGTGCCCATAATCTGATCATGAACTTCCATTCCCATAACCTATTGCCTGGATTCAGTATGTTGTGATTGGTTCAACTGTGTTAGCTTGTAAACTCCTACCAATTTAAGCCTAAATTTTCACTTTTTCATTGCAAAGTCTTATATGTGTCATGCAGCAATTCTGAACATTCTTGCTGGTTTCCTGTGTCATGGTTTTTGATCTTCTGCCTGGTTTTCTGGATTTTCCCGTTTGCCTGTGTTTCCTGCCCTTTTGTTACCTGGATTGTTTGCATTATGGTTTTGATAATTTGCCTGTCTTTTGGATTAGGATTGTGGATTACCCTAATAAACAGCTGCATTTGGATCCTCAACCTGTCTCTGAGCAGTTCATAACAGATGCACTTCATTTCACTGTTATTTTTGTACAGTGAAATATCTTCTCTTTGAGATGGCACTGCCTCCTCGAAGAAAACAACCCTGAGGGACAGAGGTAGATGATAGAATAAAATACTCTGTGGACACCTTGAATAGCAGTCCCACTCTCCCCCTCACGCACACTGTGAATGTGAAGACAGACTGACCGCCTGTTTGAGGAGGAGGTGGTGGGAGAGGGTGAGAGTTGGTGCATGCTGAATCACACAGATAATTTCCCTGCAGTCTAAATTTGCTGATGTCGTCAATGAATGAACCTTTCAATCAGTGCAAGGAAACTTGCTTACTGGTACCACTTACTGGTTGTTGTTTTTTTCATGAAACTACAAGGAATAGGATCTAGAGCAAAGTAATACTAGGTTTAAGGTTTAGTAAAAAGTAAGACATTACTTGATGATAATATTCCCCTCGTGAGGTTTTAAAGGGTTAGTTCACCCAAAAATGAAAATTAAGTCATTAATTACTCACCCCCATGCTGTACCAACCCCGTAAGACCTTCGTTCATCTTCGGAACACAAATAAAGATATTTTTGATTGAATCTGAGAGCTGGAATGACTTTATGGGCCGTCAAGAGCCAGTCCCTTATGCAGTCTATATAGGACTGATCCAGCTCTCAGATTCAATCAAAAATATCTTTATTTGTGTTACGAAGATGAACGAAGGTCTTACGGGGTTGGTACAGCATGGGGGTGAGTAATAAATGACTTAATTTTCATTTTTGGGTGAACTAACCCTTTAACTGCTCATAATAGGGGATTATCACGCTGATACGTAGTACTTCCGCATTCAGTGATCTTTGCACACTGCCACTTCCGCTGAATCACCGATCACTCTGGCGAACTGATGACGGACTACTATAGGTTTATTTGAACGGCATCCCAGGTAAATTAGTCTGATTCACTAAAGTGCCGGTGTCGTGACGAAAAGCGATGGTCCGCCGAAAATTGATGGCTGGCCGCGGGAGCACGCACAGCGTGTTAAAGATCTCTCTTTACGAATGTAGTTGCTTTTATGTGGATCAAACAGACATAATGTACAAATAAACATCACTCACCCAGTACCTTTTACCTATTAAAATACCTGTAAAGGGCCAATATACAACCATTATAATGCATGTATTTCACCTGCCAAAAAGTTATTAAAGCCTTTACTTATTAATTAAAAAGTTATTTCTGCCCTGAAATTAGTTGATAATATTCATGAGGGTTACATCTGACTGATTATAACTCACCCAGTATTTTTTTACTTATTAAAATACCTGTAAAGGGCCAATACAACCATTATAATGCAGTACTATTTCACCTGCCAAAAAGTGATTGAAGCCTCTACATATTGATTGAAAGGTTAGTTCTGCCCTGAAATTAGCCGATTAAATCTGACTGATTATAAGTCACCTACTACTTTTTACCTACACTCTAAAAAACGATTCGTTGGCTGAACAACCATTACTTATAAAACGAATTAGATTAAACATGCTGCCTGAATCATACTGTAATCATACACTGTTTGTTCATTGGTCAGAGCAGAACTTTTATGGCGCTTTTGCATATTTTTTTAAAGCTTGAAAGCTTGTAAAATGGATAGGGAAATTCTAGAAAGAAATTTCTCTTTGTGTTCTGCTGTAGAAAGCCATACAGGTTTGGACATGATTGGATATTGGACATTATTTTTTTCTCTCCATTTTTGGCTGCATTATACCTTCAAATAAATCTAATGGACACTCAAACTTTGGCTCAAATTCTAGGATACTAAAGCTCCTCAGCCTCTACAGGAAATCAACACAGAAGGCTCTCAACGCTCTGAGAAAAAAAAAAGAGAGCAGAGAATGGGAAAGCACATGAAAGAAGCTCCATTAATGAAACAGAAGCTTGAGAAAACAAAAGAGTGCACATGCATCCTCCATTAGGGTCTTTTTGATCTTACGCATGTTCTCTGGACCAGTGAGGGTTCGATTTATGCAGCATTTCATTTTAGCATCTGCACAAAACCACAAATGAGGCCTGCCAGATGCCTAATCAACACATGATAGGGAATTAAGGCAGGAACCAAGGTAAATATGAGCACACTGACACACATATGCAAAAATAACTTGAATCTGAATACCTTAAAAGATCACTGCATCACAAATGATGTTGATTTGTTTGTTTTTTTCCAAGAAAGACAGATTTAACCCTTTAACGTGCATTATAACCGTGCGGTTGACTTTTTTCCGCGGTCAAATTCCTGTTATTAATACTCGCCAAACTCCATTTTTAGCTGTTTGTTCTTATTCCTCTCACTGAATAGAATGTGTAATGACAATTATATCCACTGGGTGGCAATGTTGTACTAAAATATGTGTTGCTGAGACGAGCTGAATCTGAACCGGAAGATTATTGTCGTGATCTCTCTTCAAACAATGGCTGCCAGTGACGCGAAAATTTGAGGTAAGACATTTTTTGGTTGGATTTCATGTTCTAGACTTCCTAATGATTATCTTTTTGTTGAATGGAAGAAACGTGATAATAAAATGTATCTCTCTGTTGCCTCAGAAAAATTGTGTGACCGCTCGGTTGAGTTGCCCAGTTAGGGTAAACACTGAACTGGACACTAGCTAAATTAGCACAGCAGCGCGATAATACAGCCTGCAGGATCATGCGGCCTATTTCTTTGCTAGACTATATTTATTTTACCCTTATTTATACGGCCTGTGGTTTACCTTCAGATTCTAAATGTAATACTGTTTACTCTTTACATATTACGAAATGAACCATTAGTCCTACTCATTATTTCTGCAATAGCCATCATAGCTGAGGCTTATTGACTAACACTACGTTATGCATTGAATAGTCTCGATGGGAATAAACATTACATTTTCTGTTCAACAATCTGACAAACATAACACGATAATGAGACTGAATTGATGGTTGAACATTTTTAGCTTTATTTAGCACAGTAAACTTACCTTATCAGTCACACTTCAACATTTTCTGTCTCTTGTCTAATTTTCTGACTCTTAATCTAATTTCATGGTTGAGTGTTATCCGGTTTGTCATACATAGTACAAAGAGTATTTTTTAGCATATTTAATTTTTTCTTAACAAATTAAAATAAATCATAATGTGCCTGTATGTTGGGTGAACAGTTTATCAATAGGACAATTGTGCATTTATTATGGATAGATGTACCTGATGCACTGAAGACACAGTTTGCGACCCTACACTGTACAGTAATGTTTATTATGTTCCATCTCTTTCAGACATAATGGACTGCCGTACATTTTATGGACACCCCAGATCTACCTCTAGCACTATTGTACTTTTACCCGCTGATCCATGTGACTCAGAAGTGGAAGACCTCAGTGATCCAGACGATGGAGAAAATGAAGATTTTGTCCCTCCACGCAGTATAGATTTACCGCCCCCTTCAAAGAAATCGAGGAATAGAAACAGGCTTGTTGAGGTATCTTCAGACCTCAATCAAACTCCCTCCCCTCCTGCAAAGTCCAGGAAGACCAAATGGGTCAAAAAGGACATTCCAACCTTCACTCTGCCCGAGCCTGTCTTCGAGCTTCCAGAGTTGGTCCAGACGCCATTTCTGTATTTTAAGAAGCTCTTTACTGACCAGATGATTGTGCACATAACTGAGCATACCAACCAGTACTCGGTTCAACAGACCGGGACATCCATCAACACCACTGCTGCAGAAATTGAGGTTTTCTTGTCAGTTTTGCTCTACATGGGTGTTTTTGAATTTCCCTCTTTGGAAGATTACTGGGCCTGTGAGTCACGCTTCCCACCAGTGGCTGATACCATGTCAGTGAAGCGCTTCAAACTGCTCCGAAGATATGTCCACTTCAATGATAACTTCCAGATGGAGGGCTGCCCTGACCGCTTCCATAAGATATGCCCTCTTTTTGACATGTTCAGAGAACAATGCCTCCTTATTCCACCTACCAACAGGCAAAGTGTTGATGAAGTGATGGTGGCTTACAAGGGTACCAGAGCTGGCAAACTCAGGCAGTACATTCAGAACAAGCCGGATAAGTGGGGGTTTAAGATCTTCTGTCGTGGCAGTGACTCTGGCATCATCCACGACTTCTTCAACATTCAAGAGGAAGAGCATGCACATCTGGGCTTGAAAGACCTCCTCCTTGGCGCCAAGGTTGTCTCAATACTCTGCAACACTATCGTACACAAAGAGGCAACTGTGGTGTTCTACGACAACTTCTTTACCAGCTTCAACTTGGTGAAGACGCTGCACACCAACCTGGGACTGAGAAGTGTGGGTACCGTCAGGGTAAATCGCACAGGTAATACACATTCAGTAAATATGTTAATCATGTTAGTTACACAATCACAACCAAATCAAACCATGCATGCACACACATTTTTCTTCTGATGCAGATATACTGTACACATGCCTTCCATTTGTTATAGATATTATATTAGTGTTATTGTGAAATTTGTGATGCATGCTGTACTTTCAGGTGGTGCAACATTGATGAGTGATAAGGAGATGGTGAAGCGAGGCCGAGGTTTTGTTGATTTCCGTTCATCAGAGGGAGTCGTTGCAGTAAAGTGGTTCGACAACAAGTGTGTCACCTTGCTGAGCAATGCTTATGGGGTGGAGCCACTGTCTTCAGTGAAGAGATACACAAAGGAGGCGCAACAGAAGGTCGACGTCCCCTGCCCATCCATCGTCTTGGCATACAATCAAGCCATGGGGGGCATCGATCTCTCTGATATGCTTGTGCACCTCTATAAAACACCAATGAAGTCCCGGCGCTGGTACCTGCCATTGTTTGGGTACATCATCGATGTGAGCATTGTGAATGCATGGCTTATGTACAAAAGGGACTGCAGCATTCTCAAACAGAAACCGATGCCCTTGAAGAAGTTTCGTCTGTCGGTGGCAGCTACGTTGAAGGGAGCTGACAAGGTACCTGCCAGGGTTGGTCGACCCCCAGGTGCAAAGCACAAGCCACAAGTCCGTCGCCCCAACTCCCGAGTTCTCCACCCCACACAGGAAGTCCGATATGATGGCGTTGGACACTGGCCTACATTTGGCACTCAGAGAGGGAGGTGCAACTTGTGCAAAAGTGGAGTGTCGCGTTGGCGATGTTCCAAATGTGGAGATGGGAAGTTGTTCCTTTGTTTGAACAACAAAAACCAGTGCTTTGTTGCATATCACCAGAGATGAGTTAAGAGTAAGGCAAGGATGAGACCTATGCACGATGAGATTATTTATTTATTTATTTATTTATTTATTTATTTATTTATTTATTTATTATATTTATAGTATATATTTTTAGTTATTTATTGATTACAGTTGTAATTATTTATTTAGTATTGTATTTGTGTGTTACATTTCTTGATTTATATTGTTTACTGTTCACTTTACAATGTTTTTATTTTATGCGTTATAATAAGAACATGTTTTTAAAATAAATGGATTATATTGTTAACATATTCTACTGTCTGTACTGTTTTTATATGAAAAAATATTCAACTTAAGATTCACACAAGAAAAAAATCTATGAATGCCTAATACTAGTTACTTCATGCCGTGAATTACCCTAAATGGGCAAGTCAACCGGCTGGTTGACATGTGTATCTGCTTCCTGATTGGGTCATTTAAAAAAAAAAAACTGAAAAGTTGCTAAATTTGGACTAAGGAACACCATTTTATAAAAAAAAAATTTTTTGCATATTTATTTCTTAGTGTGACTGTTAAAGGGTTAAACAAGATATGAAAGATAACAATCTCTTGCAATAGTCACAGTCAAACATTAAAAAAATCCCATCAAAATAAGGCTCTGAGCAAGTGGATGCTTTCGTTTTGCATCAGATGCCAGCTGAAAGCTAAATTTGTCAAACTCATTTCCTTTCTCTCTCTTTTTTTTGAGGAATAATAAAAATGGTATGTTCTTACAGCTGTTCCTGTTAGTCACACATCCCATTCAGAAAAACCTATTTAGTTCTCAGGAAAACATTTTATATTTAAATACTGAACCTCAAGTTATTGTAAATCCAGACTTCCAGATCAAATTAACATATGAGTGGGACTTGAATGGACGTCATCTACTGGCATGCCTTTTAAATGGGTCATACAAATAATACAATAAAGAAACCCTGACCTCTGTTCATGAATTTCAGATGAGGACATCTAGTTGTAAAATAATAAAGGCATGGTTACAAAGCATTTGTGATTTAATTAAGTAAATAAAGTAAACATTCACATGAATAAAATAAAAATAATAATAAATAATTAAAAATATTATCATACATCCTGTAACTTTTAAGTCTGAGCAAGCATTGAAATAACTTTAGACCCACTTTAGATCAACTTGAAGAAGAATGTATGCTCTATGGCTTCCTAAAAAAAGTATACGTATATATATATATGAATGAAAGTGAATGGAATGCAAGACTAGTAGTGGGAAGGGAGGGCATGGGTGATGCCTGACTGTCTCCAACCGACACAAATATTACACCTGAATGTTATCTGGAGGAAATAATAGTGGTAAATTTAGTGCAACAGAACAAGGACAAATGCCTGTGTGCTGCAGGAAGAAGATGCAGGGGGTTTAATCTAGAAGTGATTATATTGTTATGAACAGATGGCACATGTGGCTAATGGCCAGAAAGAACAACCAAACACAGACTGAGGTAGAGGGTCACATTCCTTCACATAATTTACATGTAATGACAGCATGGCTTGGCAGTTTTATGGTAATAATATAATGAGTAAAGAGACTGTGATGTTAGTGCTGCGATCATTAGAATGTAAGCAAATGCTGCCAATATTTTGTGCATGCAAAAATTGAATTTGTACCATTAGTTGATCACGTGGCAAAGAAACAGGAGACCAGTCAAAGAAAAAGCAGTGCAGTCTATAAACTGAAAATCTCTAAATCAAGATAAATTTTTTTTAAAAAGTTGAAGAAGTAAGAGTGTGTGAACTTTGAACAAAAGGTCAGATGTTCTTGCTTCCTTTTGAAGCACAAGATGCTCTTTGGATCCCTTTTAAATCATGATGGAGAACATCCACATCAACTAGTGTTGTAGTCGAGACCAGCTCACTCGAGTCCGAGTCGACACCGAAACCAAAGTCGAGTCGAGACCAGAGAAGTTGGATAATCTAAGGTTGGGTCTCAAACCAGACTTAAAGATATGTCGAGATACTGAGAATATGTAAAATGTTTGGTGATAACAATAAAATTGGCACCATACTCAAACAGTAAACCAAATATACCATGGGATCATGTACATGTACAATGTTAAAAAGGCCACATAGTTGTGTAAATGTAATTTTCTTGTAATTATAACTTACAATTATTACAATCAGTGAGTGCTATTTCACATAGTATTACTGCACACAAATTCTGTGTGGATCTTATATGCAAACTGAATTACGGATAATAAGGCAGACATTCCCTTTCGTAGTCACTCCGAGTTACGTCGGATGACGGAGAATGATTGTTTCACATAGAAAGCCAATCCTCTTCGAGTATTAAAAAATGAGCCAATGGCAGGAAAATGCCATGGGTCTGCGGAATATGCATAGCATATCTCCGCCCCACCTCGTGAGTATAAAAGGAGGAAGCGGACGCAACCACAGTATGTTTTCGCTTCGGAGCCAAGAGAACTCTTCACTCCACAAGCTATTTATCCTGAGTTTCAACTCTTCGAGACGAGCGTCCTCTCCAGTGTTGGTGTGACGGCGATCCCAGCGAGATTCTACATGGCCTGCGATCTGTGCAGTGGTCTGCCCGACTGTGTGTTTCTCTCTGGTCGCCTCAGCGCTGCAGAGTAAATTTCCTCCTCTCTTCTGAAAGAACTGCACGTGGCACGTCTTTTTAAAGATGGTTTGCCCGTGTTCTTCTGGTTGCGTTTGATATTTGTCTTCCTCTGATGGGCACGAGTGCTGTTTTGTGTGTCTGGGCTTTGAGCACGCTAGAGCAGCGCTCATGGATGACTCATGTTCCTTCTGTGGGAACATGACCATCGCAACACTGAGATAGAGACTCAATGATCTTACTGTGATCTTCCGGTGTCCAGGGACAGGCATTAAGCTGGTTTAGATCGTACTTATCGGACCGTTCTCATTTTGTCTGTTTAAATGGGAAAAAATCAAAGATAACGTCAGTAGACTATGGAGTACCGCAAGGATCGGTTTTAGGCCCTCTGCTATTCTCAATATATATGCTGCCACTTGGTAATATTATAAGAAAACATGGAATTAATTTCCACTGTTACGCTGACGACACTCAATTATATATTTCATCACGACCAGATGAAAACACTAACTCATCTAAAATGACAGAGTGTCTCAAAGATATAAAATGCTGGATGACGCGTAATTTCCTGCTATTAAATTCAGATAAAACGGAGGTATTACTTATTGGTCCAAAAAACTACTCACAAAACCTCTCACAATACAACTTTAATATAGACGGATGTCCTGTTACTTTATCCACTACAGTAAAAGACCTGGGTGTTATACTAGACCTCAACTTGTCGTTCGAAAATCATATTTCATATGTTACAAGAACAGCCTTTTTCCACCTTAGAAACATTGCTAAGCTGCGTAACATGCTATCTGTTTCTGATGCTGAAAAATTAGTTCACGCATTCATGACCTCGAGACTAGATTACTGTAATGCTTTATTAGCTGGTTGTCCTGAATCCTCAATAAACAAGCTACAGTTAGTACAAAATGCAGCTGCTAGTTCTTACTAGGTCAAGAAAATATGATCATATAACACCGATTTTATCATCTCTACACTGGTTACCTATTAAGTTCCGCATCAACTACAAAATACTACTACTGACCTATAAAGCCCTAAATGGTTTAGCACCTATGTACTTAACGGACCTTCTTTCGCCCTACAATCCACCGTGTTCCTTAAGATCACTAAATTCAAGGCTTCTGGTCATTCCTAGGATATCGAAGTCCAGTAAAGGAGGGAGGGCGTTCTCGCATTTAGCTCCAAAACTCTGGAATGGCCTTCCCGATACAGTCCGAGCCTCTGACTCGCTGACACAGTTTAAAACTAGATTAAAGACGCTTCTCTTTAGTCAAGCATTCACATAATGCTTACCTTCTAGTCCTCTGTTATGCCATACGGAACCGTTTGCCACTGAAACTGCTTAACGCACCAGTGGGGCTCGACAGCCTTTTAGACAAACGGGTCGGCGCGTATGGTTGGGTTGCGGAGAGTTCAGGTTACGGAGAGTTTGTGAGTTATAACGGAAATCATTATGAACATCAGCTATGCTATTTATTTCCCATCTGCCTTTCTGCTGTTATCTCGGGACGCTTGTCCCGAGAAAAATGGCGTTCGTCAGGTCCAGTTTTGTGTCCAGCCTCTCACGGGGATTTCGGATGCCCCAACGCCTGTGATGAGACGACTCAACGCCTGTGAAGAGACGACTCAACGCCTGCGATATGTTATGGCGCCGTTTGATTCATAAACAATATTTATATTTAATATTAATATTTAAACAATATGAATGTAAGCCAGAGGAGAACTGGCCCCCGACTGAGCCTGGGTTCTCCCAAGGTTTTTTCTCCATCCAATCTGATGGAGTTTGGTTCCTTGCCACTGTCGCCTTGCTTTTGGCTTGCTTTGAGCTTGCTCAGTTGGGGTTATTTAGTGTTTAGCAATGTTGTTGATCTGTGTTGTGCTACTTTCATGTTATCAGTGTGAAGCTGCTTTGATACAATCTGTAATGTGAAAAGCGCTATAAAAATAAATGTGACTTGACTTGACTTGACTACTGTGAGAGTCCCCGCATCCGTTACCCGATCTGCTTCTTCCACCAGAGGAAGCTCTTCGGCTCACGGACAGGCAAGTATGCGTTTCCCCCAGTGAGCCTTCTCTGTGCAAGATCAAGGAGGACGAGGAGCAAGTCTTGTTGGTCGCTCCATACTGGCCCACCAAGACCTGATTCTCCGAACTGATACTCCTCGCGACAGCACCTCCTTGGCCAATTCCTCTGAGACAGGACCTCCTTTCTCAGAGACGGGGCACCCTGTGGCACCCTCGTCCCGATCTGTGGAGGCTACACGTGTGGCTCCTGGATGGGACGAGGCAGGTTTGAGTACCCTGCCACCTGCGGTGGCAGCTACCATCACTTCCGCTAGAGCGTTGTCCACCAGACACCTCTATACATTGAAGAGAAGACCCCCGGAGAAGCTCGATCAGTGTCGTGCTTTCCTTCCTGCAAGAGGGGTTGGAGCGAAGGCTGTTTTCCTCCACCCT